GTCTCACTATGTAGTTGAAGCTGACCTGGGACTCACTATGTAGCCAGGCTGATCTCCAACTCACAACGATACTCCTGCCTCACCCTCCCAAGTGCTGGGATTACAGGCATGCACCACCACGCCTGGCTGTAATACATTATATTAATAGAGCCAAGGACAAAAACCATATGGTCATCTCAATGGATGTGGAAAAAGCATTCGACAAAATCCACCATGCATTCACTACAAAAATCCTACAGAAAACTGGAATAGATAGTCTCTCCCTCACTCTGAAAAAAGCCATTTATGAAAAAAAAAAAACAGCCAATATCATACTAAAGGGTCAAAAACTGAAATCCTTCACACTAAAATCAAGAACAAGACATGGATGTCCACTGTTGCCACTCCTGTTCAATATAGTTTTGGAAACATTAGCCATAGCACTTAGACAAGAGAAAGATATAAAAGGAATAAAGAAATGAAGAAGTCAAATTGTCTTTATTTGTAGATGACACGATACTCTATATAGAAGACCCCAAGAACTACACCAAAAGTCTTCTAGACTTAATCATCAAATTTAGTAAAGTAGCTGTATACAAGGTCAACACACAAAAATCAATATCTTTCCTGCACATGTAAAACAGACTCACTGAGAGGGGGAACTGGAGAAACAACTCACTTCCCAATAACATCGAAAAAAACCAAACCAAAACAAAACAAAACGAAACAACACTAGGAATCAACCTAATGAAAGAAATCAAAGACCTCTACTCTGACTATAGCACTCTGAAAAAAGAGATCAAAGAAAATGTCAGAAAATGGAAAGACATCCTTTGTTCCTGGATAGGAAGAATCAACATAGTGAAAATGGCCATACTTCCAAAACTGCTATATAGATTCAATGCAGTTCCAAATGAAATTCCAGAACCATACTTCACGTACCTTAAAAAAAAACAATCCAAAAATTCATTTGGAACAAGAGACCTAGAATAGCACAAGCAATTCTGGGCAATAAAGACAAGGTAGGGTGTATCACAATATCCAACTTGAAACTATACTGCAATGCTACTGTAATTAAAAAGCAAACAAACAAAAAACAGCATGGTACTGGCAAAGAAACAGACCTGAGGATCAGTGAAACAGATTAGAAGACGCAGAAACAACTCCCGACACACACAGCCACCTCATGTTTGACAAAAGAGCCAAACCCTCACTGGAGGAAAGATAGCCTTGTTAATAAATGGTGCTGAAAAACTGGGTTTCAACTTGCCAAAGATTGAAACTAGATCTATATCTCTAATCATGCACTAAACTAAAACTGAAATGTATTAAAGATCTAAACATTAAAACAGAGGGCTGGGGATTTAGCTCAGTGGTTCCACCACCTGTCTTGCAAGTGCAAGGTCCTGAGTTCAATTCTTGGTACCAATAAATAAATAAACAAACAAACAAACAAACATAAACACTAAACAAGCTGGAAGAGAGGTTAAGTAGAACTCTTAAAGACGCTGGCATAGGAAAAGATTTTATGAGCAAAACCTCAATTGCCTACGAACTAGCATAAAGAATCAACAAGTGTGATCTCATTTTATTAAAAAGCTTCTGCACAGCAAGAGAAACCAACAATGTGAAGAGACAACCCACAATGTGGGAAAATTTTCACCAACTGTTCTTCAGACAAAGTTCTACTATCTAGAATATATAAAGGACTCAAAGAAATCAGACATCCCAAATATAAAAACCCAATTGAAAAATGGGCATCTGAAGTGAACAGACATTTTTTAGACGAATTAACAGCAGCAAATAAACATATGAAAAAATGTTCAACATCACTGATCATTTGAAAAATGCAAATGAAAACAATGCTGCGATTCCACCTCACCCCAGAAAGAATGGCTGCTCTCCTGAAATCAACCATTAACAAATGCTGGCAGGGCTGTGGGGAAAGAGGAGCCCTGCTCCACTGTTGGTGGGAATGTGGACTGGTACAGCCCCTGTGGAAATCAATATGGAGCTACCGCAAAAAATTAGGATTAGATGGTACAGAAGGAATTGGCAAGTGACACACAGAGAGTCAGCAGAATGGAAGTAAAATAACAAAAGTTTACTCCATCGATGGGGACAATGACACCTAATGGTGGTGCCCTGATCGATCCCCCTCTGAGTTACAACTCCTTCTTTTATAGGGTTTTACAGCCTTGATCTCATTCAGTTGGTTACATTGCATTTTCACAGTTCACATTGCTGATATTCAAAACATGGTGGCCAAGCAGTTGAATTTCAACCCCGATGCAGTTCTCTGTTAGGGGAGGTTACCTTTAAGATTTATTTAGTTATCTTCCTATTTCACATGTCAATTATACCATTAGGATCTTATGTACCATTATAGTTTTTCACACATAGCCAAGGGGAAGGGAGAGTGGTCAGCAAAGCTAACAATGGTTATTTTCATTTATAAAACTTTTGAGGGAGATTAGATGCCTCTGGTGCTGGTTAATACTGAACTAAACAGTGTGAAGGGTAGAAGTTATCTTACATTGTGACATTTCCTAGGATTTTGCTATTAAAGTTTTCCCTATCATAGAGGTCCCATTTGACACAGGTATTCCCTTGCTGGATATCTTCCCAAAAGAATTAAAGTAATCATACCACAGTGATATATATGCACCCATGTTCATAGCAGCACAAAGCAGCCCAATTTCCCATCAACTGGAGACTGGATAAAGATGTATGGTTTTTTAAAATTTTCATTTATTTATTTATTTATTTATTTTTTTTTTTTTGAGACAGGGACTCACTATGTAGTTGAGACTGACCTGGAAGTAGCCCAGGCTAGTCTCAAACTCACAGCGATCATCCTGCCTCAGCCTCCCAAGTGCTGGGATTACAGGTGTATGCCACCATGCCCAGCCTTGTGTGTGTGTGTGTGCGTTTAATAAAATGGAGTACTACTCAGTCATAAAAATGAGAAATTAAGAGACATGTATAGCTAAACGGATGCACATTGAGGCAATACTCTTAAGTAAATAAATAGGGCACACATGTGTAAATATCAAATAGTTTCTCTAGTGTGAGAAGCTGAAAGTGTAAATAAGGACTAAAAAGGTATAAAAGATAATGTGAAATAGGAAGAAAAGGGGCAAAGGGGAAGGGGAAATGGGAGGCGTAGGGGGAAGCAAAGAAGGGAATGGAATTAATTTGAGAAAATGAAAAACGGGAAACAAAGTCTATAGGTAGGGAGAGAAGGAGGGGTTGAAGGGAGGGCGGGGGGATGGGGAAAAAATAAGAACCAAGATGGATTATGTAGAGGTGCAAATCTCCAATGGTGAATGTCATTATATTGCATACCTAAAATGTACCAATAAACTAATTTTAAAATAATTGTTTTAAAAAACTTTAAAAAAGTCAATTAATATAATTTACAATTCATTCAATGTACCAACAGTTTAGAAAAGCAGTTGCAAGTCTGTTTTATGATATCAGTGGCAACAAATACATGGATATAGAGTATTTGTCTCTATTAACATATATTGTGCCTACCAATTGGTGATGAAACAGGTATTTTGGGGGTTTTTTTTGTTTCTTGTTTTTTGGGGATTTTTTTTGGGGAGGGGGACTTGATCTTGCTATGTAGTCCAGGCTGGTCTTGAATTCACTATGTAGCTCAGGCTGGTCTTGAACTTGCAATCCACCTGCCTCAGTTTCCCAAGCGTTGGGATTACAGATGTACCACCACCTCCCCTGGCTGGCGTCTTGTACTTTGATACGTATGTGGAGTAACAGTTTGTCTGTTCTAGGTAACTGTTTTGACGACCTGGGTTAAGCACCTTCCCACCAGGAAAAACAACTTTCTAAAGCCTTCTTCTGCTTTCCTTTCTTTCCATCCTGTACCCTTAGTTCACAGTTTGTAAACATTGTCATGGAGGTTTTGGGTGTTTTATGTAATCTAAAAGGATGGATAAAATTAACTATAGTAGAGAAGCCAAAGCAAGTCTACTTCCTTACTTGGAATAGGACAGGATGATTGCTTCTCAATACATTAAATCTGCAGCTACATTTGCTGTCTCTGTATCTTTAGATTTTACAAAAGGGAACTGAAACCCAGCAAGTCGTATTAGAAGTCCATTCAGAAAATGAACAAAAAAGCAAATGAAAACAACCCAGAAGGAGGCGGTGTATTTTTCATCTTGTGTTTTGTATGCGTAAGTCCCTTCTTTATAATTTGCAATTTTTTCTGAGAGGTGGTGGATTTTCACTTCAGAGGCAAACAAAATCATGACAAGACAGCCGCAGGAACCTGTAACAGAAGGAACAGACAATATGTTGGGACAAATATTTCTTGATTATAGGGGACAGGAAGGAGGGTCAATGAACAAACCAAAGAAAATCTTTTACCGTTACTCTCACTTGCACTCTTCTACAAAAACATATTATTGTAAATGTGTCATCGTGAGTCTGATTTCTAGGAGTGCTAGTGCTGGGGCTATGGCTCTGAGTGGGGAAGACTGGGTGGGAGGTGAGTAGGGTGACTACAATCAAGTTAATCTTACAAAAACTGAAGGTTACATTGCTGGGCTCCTTAAAATACAACAGCAGAAGCAGGCTGTAAAGCAGCCACTGCTGTGATGTGACTTCAAGAGGACAGATTTCTCTGTACTTTACAGGTGATGCAGGATAAATGCCAGCAAAATAGCAATGTAGTCCCTGGTTAGAGGCTTGGCCCTTTCTTTTAATCCCCCCCCCCCCCGTACCAGAGATGGAGCTCAGGACCTTGAGCTTGCGAGGCAGGCATGGTGCCACCGAACTAAATCTCTGGCCCAACTGGGCCTTTCTTTATAAGAATTACCACAGCCCCTCCAGCTCTCAGCTGGTTGGCCACAGACGCCCTGGGCTAAGATAGCCACAGAAAAGGGATTGAGGCAGAGCATAACCGTTTCCTTGTTACTGAATTCAGATTTTAAGTGGGGCATATGGCTTCCTTGAATAAGGACGTTATTCAGCCAGGAGTGTGACAAGGTGGTATCAGACATGGAAGCCATGTACTGTTTAAAAACAAGAAAGAAACATCTGGATCCCAGACACCAGGCGCTACCAGACTAGTTTTCCACTCTGACTCTAGATTTCCAAGTGTGAGAAGAACAAACATTTATTTTGTTTAATCCACTATTATTACTTCTCTCCATCATTTATCACTCATTACTCGCTTGATCTAATCTCAATAATATAGCTACAGTCTGGATGAGATCTCTCCAGGATTAGGGTACTCCATACCACACCGAACCTGGAAACTCTGAGTGGTCATCTCCCCTCAGGACGAAGGATGGGTGGAGGCTGCTGGATAAGAAGCCAGGTGACAGGGGGGCGAGATCAGGAATACAAGAATGACTTGGGCTCCACAGGCCTTCTGCCACTACTGTTGTATCCCAGGCTGCCTCAATGGACTTCCAGTGAATAGGAGACTGGCTGAAATGGTTTTCTGACTTTGGTCAAACAAATTTGGGCTCAAATCCTAATACTTTCCCTTACTATGTGAATGAGGCAATTTGAATACCCAAGTCTTGACTTCCTAATCTAAAAAGATGATTAATGCTAATAATGCAGGATTAGCATTTGGTGTTGGAATTGACACACATCAATACTTGGGCCAGGGATTTAGCTCAGTGGTTTTGCTGCCTGCCTTGCATGTCAAGGTCCCAAGTTTGATCCCCATACCATAAAAAACAAAGAAGAAAAAAAATACTAATGGGCTATTGCTGTGGTTTATTTTTTTTTTTTCTGGTAAGTCTTTATCAAATTCATTACCACACCCCAGGAAAACCTGACTACATTAATGTAGGCAACCACCAAAACTGTATCACAGTGTTTATTCTTCCAAATACTCTCCTATTAAGTTTATGACTCCTTTAGGAGGGCTAAATGCCTTTTATTCTTAAATTACAGTTAATTCAAATATCCTGGGAGTAGCAACATAGTGGCTTTGATTCCCTTTCACTAATTCACTCATTCATTTTTTCTTCAATTAGACATGTTATGTGCCAAGCACAGGGATCACGGTAGAGATTGAAATGTTAAAGAAAATATATATGGTTTCTGCTCTCACTGAGTATAGTCTAGCCGAAATGTAAAAACAATTATAAATCAAGTACAGTGAGTATAGTAATGGGATGCTATTACTGAGAGGGCAGGCAGCCTGTGGAAAGTTTCTAGGAAACAGCTGGAAGGGACTCTAGCAAGCTGAGCACAGAGGGGCTGGACCTTGCGGATGAACCTTCCGGACATGGGGAGCTACCGTGCAAGTTGCAGTGGCCCCTACGCCTTTTGCAAAGGTCGGGTTTGACCTTACAGAGTGGGACAGAGGCAGATATGACCTCTCATTTCTTCTCCTTTACAGTTTCACCTATCACCCACCAGCCTGATCACCATCATGAAATCCCCAAATAGTCAAATGATATAATTTTCTTGGGACTTCACTTCCTGCTGGCCTCGGTGGTAGTTGAGAAAATTCCTTTGTAAGATTTGCCAGCCTATTTTTGTATTCTGAGCTTCAAACCATAGCTGTCCCCTTGCAAAAACCATATTATTCCTTTATTGTTAGGCCCTAACAAAAAGGCTGCAATGCTGTTTTCTCTTTATCTTTTATTTGAAAATTGTGGAGAAAATACCATTGCTTTTACCAAAAGAGCTTTCTTTGTCTGCGGAGACGGTGAATTTCAGACAGAAGTGAAACACGATTTCCTTAGTGCCTGAAAGGCAAATTCAAGCTCGGTTTCCTTTTCAAGTTGTTAAATATTTTAAAGGAACTACTTTGTTAAGAAGACAGTGTCATAGTGAGCCTGCATTTCAAATTCCTAAAGTAAAAGTCCTTGGGATGTCTTGAAATTCAAATCCTTTGCCCTGCCTATTATATCAAGTACCCAAGACAGCTTGTGGTCTGGTCAGAGAGAGGACGGTCTTCAGAATGTGCTCTAAATTCTGGGGTTGACCTTCAGGTCAACTTGGTCACCTCAGAGTCAGAGGATTGAAACCTAAGTCTCTGACATTTCCATGGCTGCTAAAATATGTGAAGGGCAGCAACTCAGTGTGAATTTGGGATATTTTCACTTCTCTCTGTCTGTAGTCATAAAAGAGATGCCAGATCAAGGATAACTACGTATGATTTACAGACTGAAAGGTGCACTTGAAGACCTCTTTGTGCTCTGGCTGCTGGGATACAGAGAGGGGATGGAGGGGAAGAGAGCGATGGTGAGAACAGGGCTCTGTACATTTCTGTCAGGACACTCAGACCCCACCAAGAGGGGCTTCTGCGTAGGGTTCTCTACTTAGGGGCCTACAGTTCCCCTTTGAAAAGGGGAACCAATGTGAGGAATGCTCAAAGTCACCATACTTCTAGGGTTCTGGGTTTCTCTCCACAAACAGCCTTGAGCTCATTTCTGGTGCTTGCGTGGGTGGCTTCTCTGGGTCAGCGCCCCCAGTGCAGACTCAGTGGCTTTGCTCTACATCCTGGAGAACAGAGGCACGGTCAGGCTCAGTCACGTGGTGTAACGCTCACATACACAGCTAGAGGCCCCATGCCCAGCATCATGTAGCCAGGCGGAGAAGAGGAGACGGATTGGGGCCGTTCTGCTCCTGTTGCCACATTCAGGGGCAGAATTCCCACTGCTCCTAAATTCTTCATTTGAATCTCACCTGTGAAATCTTCTGGAGGGATATTTCTCAAAGTAGAAGGATAGAACATACTCTGTTTTAAAAAGTTTTACTAGTTTGGAACTTTTCAATGTTTAGAAATATCTCATGGGAGTTTTCATTCATATTCTTGTCCACAGTGTCTCAAATATTCAGGTCAGGCCTCCATTCCTCTCTCCTCTTTTCCTGTGTGTATCAAGAGCCCAAGCGAAGCAGGGGCCATCGGAACCAATTCTCATATGTCCGTGAATCTGACCAATGCTACTAGGCTCACAGAAAAGTTAGAATAAACTAGGGCTTTGGAAAGGCTACTGAGGCTGGCTCAAGCTGGAATTTGGAACATAACCGGCACAAATCC